AAATATATATATCACTGCATAAAACATATGGGGAACTTGATTTCTGAAGTCTGAATATCTCTCCAGTTTTTTTTTGCAATGTAAAAGAAAAAAATAAATATAGCATGAATAGCTTGTGGGTTACTTTATGTGAAGAGCAAATAGGATTTTGAGTTTTCATTGCTATAGATACTTTAGTGTTAAGACCATACAGTGGTCCAGGACACTTTTGTCATATTTCCTTTCTCATTTTTCTTTCTATTTACTAACCAAAGATATTGTTCTAATCTTACACAAAGTTTATTACACATGGTAGCTGTTGAAGAGTGAAGAATAGGTGTACCCAAGCATTATCATTCAGCAGAAATGCATGGCAGAATTTTTACATTCCAACTTCACGTTTGTTCATTTGCATTGTGATTTAGAGAAAGGAGGAAAAAAAAGGTTAAGATGACTTTTGATACATCTCACCTTGGCAGCATTAGATGATTTATTTTTTATTTATTTATTTAATTTTTGCCTTACTGGGGATGGAACTCAGGACCTTGCTCTTGCGAGGCAGGCACAGTGCCACTAAATCCTTGGCCTTTAGATGATTTATTTTATATGATGCTTGCAAAACTATACAGATGCAATTATGGATTGTTTTTCCTGAGTTCAGCATGTAATCAGTTGTCCTAATTTTTAAACCCACAAGAAGCATTCCCCTCTATCCCCAGAACTTACATTGTTTTCTGTATTCCATGTCTTTGACCAAAGTACCTTATAAAACATCCAAAACCTAGCAAGATTATGGTTTTTTTCTCTGTAAAGATTCATCCCCAGTGTGAGTGGTTGTATGGTTTATAATTCGCCTCTCACTTATCATAACCTGCCTATTTTCCAAAGACATTGATGTTCCTTAAAGTAATAAAAAAGAAAGAAAATGTAAGAGTCATGTACAACAGAAAAGGAAGTTAGCTATAGTGATACATAGGGCATGAAAAAACTTGAACCTTCTTTAAACTCTGAGCATCCTACAAATAATCCTATGATCTTGAGTATTATTATTTTTCTATAATTCTTATATTTAAAAAAAATCAGTTCTGCTTTGTCAGGAGAAAATATTTCATATACAGTATCAAAAACCCAGCCCCCCCCAGTTTTTACTAAAGAGACTGAATAGTTTATGAATTGAACAACACATTGAGTTGTTTTGCCAAGAGCAGTACATAATGTGTAGGTCTAGATGCCATGTAGCTGTGTCTTACACTTGCTCTCAGTCAAAACATAGGATGTGGTATGAAGGCGTGACCCTGAAGATGTTGGGTCTGCAGCTTGTTGGTAAATCAGCTTGTGGGGTCTGGAGTAGTGGCTGGGTTATCTTGTTCTTGAGACAGTTTCTCATGAATCCCAGCTTCATTTTTAGGCTTTGCGTGTTTGTTTGTTTGTTGAAGTGTTGTAGTAAATATATTACAAAATTTATCATTTGTAACCATTTTTGAGTGTAGCATTACATACTTTGCTATTGTACAGCCATCACCATCTGTCTCTAGAATATCTTCAAACTGAAGCTGTGTACCCGCTAAGTACTGTGATGGCCCGTTCCCTTCTCCTGATTCTTAGCTTTTATAGGGAAATGGATGGTGGGTAGTTGGATGTGGAGGTGGTTTCCAAGATGTGTTTCCAAGATGTGTCTGCCTGTGGTATGATAGGTATTCTGTTACTTTAGACACCAGGAATCATAGCATGCTCGTTCTATAATAATCAATAACCTGCCCTTTCTTGTTGGCCAACTAGCAGGATCTCACTCTGGTGTAAGGGGAAGGGTTGTTTCACTCTTAATACTCAGCTCACCCAGCTTCCCAGGACATATTTCCTTAATAATTTCAACCGGTCCTTTGTTGGATACCCACATTTTTCTGCCACCCAGCATGGAAGTACTGTTCTCCATCTGGAAGATTTATAGAGTAATTGATACCAATAGACTTTTCCAACTGTGTAATTACTTTAATATGGCTTTCTAGAATGTTTGCTTCTGGATAGGACTCTTTTTTTTTTTTTTTTTAAATAAAAAGCCTGCTAAAAGAAACCATACTGCAGGTGTCACTGATAGACAGATGGGTGAATTGATCTGTTTACTGTGAAAATGTTTAGCATTTTCCACCCAAAGGCCACTGACAGGCTATTTATAGAATAGTTTTTGTTTTGTCAGTGTTCTCTGGCCGTTATCTCTGATAGTGATTGGACATGACTTTTATGTGTGTTTCAAAGGGATTCTTTGATCCTGAGAACAAAAATGAGAATATTGCTGTAGAAGAGATGTGTCCCTTCCTATCTGCTTTGGTCCAACTGGTGTACCTTTAAAAATGAAATTGGGTTGCACTGGGGATTTAGCTTAGTGGTTCTGCTGCCTGCCTTGCAAGCGCAAGGTCCTGAGTTCGATCCCTGGTACCAAAAAAAAAATGAAATCGGGTTTACTTAATTGCAGTTAAGAGAAAATTCCTTTCCTTCTTTTTTTTTTTTCTTCTCGGTATCAGGGATATCGAACTCAGGACCTTGAACTTGTGAGGCAGGCGCAGCTCCACTGAGCTAAATCCCCGGCCCTTCCTTTCCTTCTTAAGAGCAAGTAGGGGAGATAATTAAACACCCCCAAAAGTGCTAATCCTCACCAAAAAAAACACACATAAAAGATAGCATGCAGCTTTTCTCCTGTGGTTTTGTCTTTATCCAATAGATAGACACAAAATTATGTCTTCATTTTGTGAAGATCTTTTCTGAAAATCTGCATTATTCTGAGCACAGGCCGAGATTGAGTACTTGTTAAATTTTGTCTCTTCTCATTTTGTAAAAGTACCATGCATTACTCTGATAACTGAGAATTATCTTATTTCTTTAGGATGGAACTTTAAAATCCTGTTGCCTAGTTGTTCTTACCTTTTGAAACCTCCTTGTGTGCCTCAGACTTAGAGCGCTCAGAGTCCTGTGATCGTAACTTCATCTCTTTATCATAAACACCAAGTCATTGGAGCCCCCTGCAGAGTTAGGTTTATTCTAGGCAGTAGTAAATTCAGGACTTACATCATTAAGAACTAGGGTAATCAGAATGCTCTAGTGATTAGCTGCTTGATCTTTATATGATTCACTCCACTAGTTCTTTATTGTAAAGAAAAAAACTTTTATTTTTTTTGCTCATAATTTCCCTGGCTAACGGTTAACCACCAGTTATCAGGGCTGACTGGAAGACCTGTCATTGCTAAGATTTATAATGACTTCAGCAGTTGTAAATTTTCCCACTTGCTTTTATGCAAGCCTGATGCATCAAGTTCATTTCCTACCTGCTCACTTTGCTCAGGATTGTTGCGTACACTCTTAACACATGAGATTGCCAAAAGTTTACACACACACACAGGCACTCTAAAACAAGGCTGAGTTAAGAAGGGTACCAAGTATTGCATATATCTCAGTCTTTTCAATCTAATCCATTTTTTTTTATTTCAGGCCTTAACGCAGGTTTATAACCCTGTGGTTTTATTTGTATTTGAAATAGGATCTGGTCCTCAGAAAACAATGCCATTGTATCTCTAACAGGAATTATTGCACTCACATGCTAATACATTCTGATTGATGATTGGAAATAAGAAAAAGTTTCTGGATCTCCTGTAAAGTGTCATAGCTTGTTTTTGTTACTGACTTGGTCCCAGAGGTTAGAATGCCTCCTGGAGTTAAAGTAGTCTCAGTTTTCTTAGCATCTATGGAAAGATGATATAGAGAAGGAAGGAAGGAAGTTGCGGGCAAAACCACTGCTAAAGCTAGTATGACTCAAAGACTGATAGCCGAGGAGGTCAGAAGGATGTCATGCAGCAGAATTATTCTTCCATATGTTTTGCAGAGGACTAGAGAAAGGAGGAAGAATTTCAGTAAGTTTCCAGATCTGCCTGTTCACCTGAACAGAAGGGGTTACCTCTTTATTTGCCTTCTTCCTCTCTTTCCAATACCATTGAATGGAGTTGTGTTTTCTCTGGAAGCTGTCTCCCTGTCCCTGCAGGGGTGTGTGTCTGAGTAGCACAATGCCTCTGTAGGCATCAAAAGTGAGTGTGGACTCTGTTCTCTTCTTTTTCAACATGTACATCAGAATCTGAGAATATTTTCTGCTCCCCAAGTCACTAAGATGGTAATGAAATTATTTTGTGCAGGCAGCAAAATCACACTCAGGCTGACAAATAATGTATGTGACCTGGTTTTGTTAATTTCAAGAGTACCATGGCAAAGACTGCCGTTGTACCCATTCATACGAAATGAGGTGGGAGAAGAGTCCTTGAATGAAGTGTGCTGTTCTGTAAGAGGGCTGGATCTGTGGCCCAGAGGGCTGGATCTGTACTTTTTCATTGCTTTAATACTGATCAG